CTGAAATTTGATGTAGTAGCTCAGAGTACTACATACTGCAAGAAATATTTGCATGAAAACTTACTGTTAAGAGTCAGCTCTGCTTATCTGTTAGCAAAATATCCCTTGAAGTACTAATGAGACTTTAAAAGACAATCAAATGATAGTAAATGATGTAGCTAATTACAATTTAAAGTCAGTCTAATCCAAGACAGAAAATAAACATTAGCTATTCCAAAAATAGAGTAGGTTGTTAATTTAACAGGTATTGTGCTAATACGTAGTGTCATTCACTACACATCAGCTTCATATCTTGTAATATTTATAGTTATTTGTAATGGTTGACCAAAAAAAACGAACTGTTGCAGTTTCTCCTCACAGCATTTCAGACCAGTTTTATTCATTTCATCTTGCAGGGTCCTGGTTTGTCCACCACGTGGTGCCATTGCCCCACAACTTCCAGTCACATTGGAGCATCTTCTCTCCTAAAACCCAGCAGGGTGTTTTACACTGCAGTGTGTCCCCTGCTGATGCTGTAAGGTGTTTCCCCCCCCCCCCCCCCCCTCTCCCTTTATTTCTGTGCTCAAAAGCAGCTCGCTTCCATCTGATGTCACCACCGTGTCCTTTCAGCTACAAAGCAGTGGAATAAGAACCGGCCCCTGTTCTACAAGTCTCTGGAGTGGAAAGGCAGGCCTCCTGTGGGGAGGGGGGTGGGGGTGTCTTTTTGCTTCAACATTTTCTGCATCTCCTGCCTTTGATGTCATGTTTGCATTCCTGTAAGGAACAGACGAGAGGGGAAACTGACTACGTGTGCACATTTAATTAAAAGGACAAAACGGCACAAAAGCAAGATTTGAACTGTGTTGTCTTACATTTCAGGGTCTGCGTTTCCTTCTGACATTTAAAGCATGGCATTTAATCTGACATTTAATTTCTAACCCTTCACCTTAGCTTAGCATGAGCCAAATTCAAACGTGAAACAGCAAAGCCTGAATGGCATCTGAGCTGAAATAACCCTGATTCCCACATTTTCCTCCATGCCAGGATAATAAATACCTTTAAAGGCCATTCAAAAGCACAAACGTGGGGGGTTGGCTTTTCGAGTCAGAATCAGCAGCTGCGTAGTGGCTGTTTTGTTTGTCATAGCTGACTTTAGTTAGCAGCAAGAGGGAACGAGAGGAGCAGGAAGATCATGTGGAGACCCCAGCTGCAGCACAGAGAAGGCACAGATATATTTCATCAGCAGCTTTGTGGAGACATGAGGTGCTTCTTTACTCCCATCTAGTGGTGAAATGAGGAAATTACAACAATTTAATATGTGGCGCATTCAAACTCATAGAGCCATTGGTGGTGACAACAACACATTCTATGATTTAGGACATAAAATTATTCAAATCTAATATGAATTCTATAAAACTAATCTACATATCAACCATGTCAATATTTATTAAACAAATTTAAAGCCAACATTTGAGTGTTCATTAATTCATCCCCCCATCCATCCATCCATCTGGTGTTGTGAGCTGGATTCACATGCAGATTGCCCTCACTATCCTCACAAAGAGGTTAGTTAGGGTCTTTGTTAGTCTTACTCACAGATAGGCCACTCTGGACACATGAACTGAGGTCTTGATAGGACCTTGATCCACCTGAATGTTCAGGCTTTTTGGGCAGCCTTGTTTAAAGTTTTAGGAAATGGGCTCCGGCAACCCCCGTGACCCAAAATGGAAGAAGCGGGTAAAAGATAATGGATGGATATACGAATGTTTAAAGTTTTATTTCTTTTTCAATGTTTGTGTTTCCAGATCTGTCTCATGAGAGAAGAGGAATGATGTGAACTTCTTGTTTTCATATTTTAGATCATTTAGATGATAGTTCTTTCTTTCATCCCAAGTTGTGTCTTTGTTCAAAGCTTTGTGAATGAAATATACTTGTTTTAATATTACCTGAACCAATGTTTACTTGTAATTATGTCAGTCTGGGTAAATATTAAAATCAACCGGAGAATCCACACAGAAAGGCCTGAGACAGGAGGTGAACCTATGATTTTCTCACTGTGAGGGAACATCTAATCACTGCCCCGACATGCTGATGAACACATGCCTTTAATTAAAATAAGAGTTTTCACCCTGTGCAGACAAAAACTATTAAATAATTGCTTTTACATGTCCTAAAATGAGCAAACATGCCACTAAATTTGAGTTATTCTGATCATGACGGGGCAGATAAGAGTAAAATAACTGCTGCCAAACCTTATTACAGGCTGCAGATGAACACGCTGATTATTGATGACTGTATTTGTTGTATCACTTGTGTTTTTGTACTGAGGGAATTTCTCACTGCAGAATCAATAAAGTAATTACAATGTTCACTCAGAGCTTATAACAATGGCAGTCATGGCCTTTCTTATCTGGATCCAAGCCCATGAGGGGGCTTCCTTTGGCAGACAGCAGGGTTAGAGGATAATCTCTCCCCTCTGTCCCTGACCATCTCTGCAGCTCCCACCATCTACAAGCTAATCAGGGCTTTACTCCTGTCTGACAGGACTACAACTCCCACAGTCACACGTAATGTACATCAACATGGACTCACAGTCTGTCCTGATGTAAAAACACAGAGGGAAGAGATAATCTGCCAGATTTAAACCAGAAACAATCTGAGACGTTTCTCTCATAGCTTCAAGTCAAACTCAGTATCAACCAACACATAAAAGACCACGTCTGTCAGATAGATAGATAGATAGATAGATAGATAGATAGATAGATAGATAGATAGTAATC